CGGTATGACACCCAAAGGCCATTCATCAGAGATCTTCTTTGGGCATTCGGAGGCTTGTGTGGGAACAGCGTAAAAACTGGATGTATACAGTTCAGTATCCGCTTTATTTCAGTTTTCACTATTAAATAAGTAAAAATTAATGTTGGAAACTTTTGAGGGTTAGGGCACTGATCATTAGCGATTTACCGAATGTCATTTTGCCGAATGCATTTCGCCGAATGTCATTTTGCCGATGTGCTTTTTGCCGACGTGTCAAAAAGTCGAAATGCTAAAAGTCGAAATGCCATTTGCCGACATGCCTTTTTGCCGAAATGCCAATTTGCCGAAATGCCTATTAGTCGAAATGTAAATTTGCCGAAATGCGATTTGCCGAAATGTCGATTAGTCGAAATGTTAGTTCGTCGAAATGTAAATTTGCCGAAATGTCAATTTGCCGAAATGTCAATTTGCCGAAATGTCAATCTGCCGAATTGGCAGTTTGCCGAAATGTCAATTAGTTGAAATATAACTTTGCCGAAATGTCAATCTGCAAACCTTGGTTAGGTTAGGTTAGGTTAGGTGGTGTTTATTTACTTAGGACCGATCACCAATTTACTTTTGGTGCCCAAGTAAGAAGCAAATCACATGATATCCTTTGACCTCCTGATTTCATAACTAATAATTATTCATGGCACAAGCAAGTTTAAAAGCACCAATACCATGTGGAAATAAACATCAAATTGCTCGTGGCGAAGCAGTGCAGTGCCGAAGGCAATGCCTTAGGAGAGATTACAGGCAAAGGTAAGTCAAATATTTTTAGGTTAACCCTCGCCGGCCGAGGGGGTGCGGGTGCCGCACCCCATAGGTTTTTTTCGCGATAGCTCCGAACACGCTGGCGATAGAGCTGAAACTTTGCATAGCTGACCTTTGATTCAAGCCGGATCTTATTACATCAACCGCATTTTCGGGTCAGGTCAGGTCACCGACCTATGACGTCATAAGCGAACCTCTGCACGGTCTTCAGATATCGCAACTTCGCAACGCCCTCACGGCCAGAGGAGCTTTCACAGGGAAATGAAACTTGCAGGACCTAATATCCATTACGAGTCTCACAGCTTGTATGTCTCAGATTTTCCTAAAGGGTATTTGAGGACGAGGTCAGGTCATTTTCGTGACCTCACCATTATATCTAAGTCAAGAAGAAAAATGAAAACTGCTATTCTGGCGCCAGGAACGACCTCTAACTATCCTAACTATCTCAAGCACACAGAATCGTGATTTGACGCTCTCCTTGCAAGGTTAGATGCGTAACTTTTGCAATGTTGACCTTGCGTGACGTCATTTATGACGTCATCAAGGTCATATTCGTTTTTCGTCAATAACTCCCGATCACATTGAGCTAGCGAGTCGGGAAAGCCACCAATGGACTCAAGAATACCTGCCGAATCGAATGATATGCGACATGACCTCTTTCCACCAGCTTCATGACCTGGGGTGCTGATCTGACCGTGACCTGAGGTCAACACCCTAAGTTGAGCTGACCCAATTAAAAATTATATCATTTGACGCGCCTAAGCAAGGCAAATACGATGCTGCCAAAATCGCGGCCCTGCGGCCCTTCGTGGCGAAGTTGTTCGCCAAAAAACTGAACCGTACCTTGGGGCACTTGACCTGACCTCAGAGGTCACCGGTTGACGTAGGACCTTAAAATCGGGTATCAATCTCTGCGTCTTGTAACGGCGCACACACTCGTTTTTTTTTTTCCGCGACGCGCCAGCTCCATCAGGGGCGAAACGACTAATAAGCATTTCGGCAAATGGCATTTCGACTTTTTGACAGGTCGGCAAAAAGCACATCGGCAAAATGACATTTGGCGAAATGCATTCGGCAAATCGCCTTTCAACAATTACCACCTCGGCCGGCGCGTATGTAGAAAATCAATAGGTCCGGTGAGGGTTAAATTGTTGTGTATCTGGCTTCAGGCCGAAGGCCTGTAGCCTGATGCACAACCACTTAACCTAAAAATATTGACTTATCATTGTGTGCAATCTATTAATGTATCTTCTTCCTTATCCATGGGTAGGCAAAAATCAGTAGGTCAGGTAAGGTAAGGTTTAGTTATGTTTTTCTTATACTTTGGTGACATGGAAGTGGGTTTCTAACTTTGAAAAGCGAGTCGGTCCTTAAGTTAATACTTAGGGGAGATCCGTGTAAGACGCCCAGGGTCGGTAAGAGGCCCTATCGCTTTTTTTACCAAACCAATAATGTTATTTATTTTTTAATGTACTTGTAAAGCAGAAGCCCTCTTGAAACAACAACTCACGAAACCTGAGGTATCAGGTGCGTCGCAGAGACTTTTGGTAAGCCTGTTTCTGTTTTTGCCCCTTTACTTGCCAGATATATGCATCTTTATCACCCTTATATATCTGAAAAAACAATGGCTATCAAATGCAATCTTATCTCATCGAAATTTGTCACATGTTAGCTTCAGAATAGACCATGTTCTGGTGCGCTGCAAATGTCTCATAAACCATAAAGATTGTGACGTTAAAACACTGCATTTTTTTAAGAGGCCCTCCCTTCGAGGATGATAAAACGCCCCCCGATAAAAAATGCCCCCGATGCTAAAACGCCTGCACCTGCGGCAGGCGTGGCATTCTTTTTTCAAGGAGTTTGTTTTTGTTTCTTTTTTCTGTTTCTTTTCTTAGAGGTAATAGGTACAATGTTCATTGGTCATCAGCGTTTGGTTGTGCTAGTTTTCGCATTGTTCGAGCGCTTTGGAAGTGTTATTGGTTTCGATAACACCGTATTTGCTTAGCGTTTCGAAATAAAAGGCCTTGCAGCTGTGTTCGCAAAGCGTCTTTTACAAGTCGACTTGACTTGTAAAACGCCCGAGGGGGGGGGGGGCGTCTTACCATACCCATAGTGTAAGAGGCCCTTTTGCAACTTTTTCCAAAATGTTAAAGTTTACGGTTTGTGTACCCCCTAGATTCATTTTGAATGCAAATATGTATGGGAAAATGATGCATGCTCACAGCGCATGCACACGTTAGCTCTTAAATATTATCATTTGTCTAAAAATAGCAACTGAGCTTAAGGGGGGGCCTCCTGCACCACTCTCCCCTACGGGTCAGGTTAGGTTAGGCTAGGTTAGGTTAATGACTAATTGGCATTTCGGCAAATTGACATTTCGACTAATTGACTTTTCGGTAAATTGACATTTCGACTAATTGACACTTCGGCAAATTTACATTTCGACTAATTAGCATTTCGGCAAATTAGCATTTCGGCGAATTGACATTTCGACTAATTGACATTTCGGCAAATTTACATTTCGACTAATTAGCATTTCGGCAAATTAGCATTTCGGCGAATTGACATTTCGACTTATTGACTTTTCGGCAAATTGACATTTCGGCAAATTGACATTTCCGGCTTATTGCACGTCGGCAAAAAGGCATGTCGGCAAATTGCATTTCGACTTTTAGCACTTCGTCCTTTTGACACGTCGGCAAAAAGACACGTCGGCAAAATGCATTCGACATATTGACATTCGGCGAATAAGCATTCGGCAAAATGCAGTTCGGCAAATTGTCCTGTAACCCCCTAGTGGTGTAGCTATTGTATATCACGACAGCATGAATGCATCATTAACTGATTGCAATAAAGAAAGAGTTTAATGTCAGGCAGGGGAGCAACCCGCTGTCGTCAGTCCGCAAATTATTTCTCTCGTCAAACTTATAATGCAGCTGCCATTTAGGCTACGAACTTGTGGTGTAATTGACAAAATACGACATTTTCAACATGGACTCAGGCGTGAGAGGTGACAGCTATGATAAAAAAGTAAAAACTGATGTCATAAAGCTGTCGAAACAATAAAAATTACTAATTTTGAGAGAAACGATTGAAAATGTAACCGTATAGGCGCATACGTTCACATATATCTAGTCGGTTACAGTAAACGTTTTCGTTGCACTTTTACAAGCGTACGAACACATGTAAAGTTATCTACCTGGGCAAAAAACATCGCGATTTACACCTACATTTATTATTTAACCAGCGTGAATAACATTATGAATGTTAAAGTAAGCCGCAATGACATTAGACTGCCGGGGTGTATGCATTCGGTCTCATTCGCTTAGCCTTGTTAAAGTATAGGGCGCAATTGGGTTCTAATTGCGCCATCCCCCTGGCGCAATTTACAGCAGTTGTTGGCAAATGCGCCCTTTTACATGTTTCTGAAAAACAGCTGTCAGAAGCAAACGAAACATTATTAATTGATCGGGAGGCTCTTAAATCGTAGCCAATGAGTTCCTCTTTGAAATGGTCACCAATGCATGCTTATATCTCCAGCAGTTTTCTTACAATTAGCGTTTTTCCTTAAGGTGGCGCAATTCACCCTCCTTCCCCTAACTCCCATTGGCCCATGATGGGCGCTTTGCCCCACACCAAAGTGTTCGTATTACCCCAACAGCACATTCAAAACAAAATTTGCCAAAATTAAGCCTGTCACAATTGTGTTGCAAGCAAATAAATGCTCAAAGCATAGCTTAAAGGAAAAGGGCCACCTTTAACATGGGGATTGAAACTGAGATAGCCATCTTGTAGCCCGTGTCCGAAAACCTCTCTGTCTACCTCCTTACGGCCGATTTCGGCCTCCATTCGTAGTTATCGGCAATTTTAAAAGAAAATATGCCAGGAATGCGTTCTTATCCCAGGAATGCGTTCTTATCCGACAATACAGCCACCCGCGGCGAGGCTTTGGTTTTTAACCAATCAGCTTGCAGCAGTACTGATCAGGCACGGATCCCTGTACTAGCGAGCAGACCACGAGCAGTTGCGTTATTTTTCGTTGTCTGTTCTGGCAATCGGCCGGCGGATGAACATCCGCAATCGAATCTTGAAATCCGTCGCGCTGATTGGTCATGAGTTTCATGAGCTACTTTCATGAGGTCTATGAAAGTAAACCTATGCTATGCCCTGAACAGATGACATCTCGTTTGGTAGCCAATTGCTAAAATCAAAATGCATTTTTATCTTACGCAAGGCAGTATACCATATTTTATACCGTGGCTCTGATCCGAAATCAGGGCATTTTTGTTCGAACAAATACCTATAATAACGATGAAGAAGTGCGTGATCCGCGGAGCAAACGACCTACGTCGGGTCGGGACTGATATGCGTGTGACTGTGCACAAGTAAGTACCTAGGTACCTAGGTAGGTACCTAAATTCTTATTTATTGCAATGGCTCTTCTATTACTTTTGTTTTCACAGAACTCTCCCCTGGATTAGCAAACCCTTTTGAACTGTTCAGGCTTTCACAACTGAAATGCCAGACTGGATAAAAAAACGCAAGTTATGCCGAATGTCATGCGAAGTGGCGTGATTGCGGCGTTGCCCCGAAAATTTCATCGCACATCCAGCATAATTTTGCATGCGTCAAATTCAGCGCATGGTGGCAGCTGAATTTTTAGGCGCAGGGTGACCGCATGGCGCATAATGTTTATGCAAATGGCTGTCACCGAATTTTTTGACATGCTGTGGTCAATCTAGCAGCAGACTTGCCCTGCGGGCACTGGCAGGTCTGAAGAGAGTCGGAACTTCCGGCCTGGGCCTTGTTTCACCTTAAGATTCTACAGTGTGCCACACAAATTGTGGTGTTGGTATTGGGTTTTCATGGGAACATTAACTAATTCAGACGCTCAGAAAGGGAAGAGCGTCTGACTCCGAGGCCCCGGAACGATCTGTCTGGTTGATATAGCCTTGGTCGGTAGATATGCACATGTGCTTTATGTAAAAGTGGCTTAATTTTGGTGCAAACAGGCACCCAACTTTCAGTGGAAATCATGCATTGGAATTTCAGCTCAAAATTGCTTGCTTCAAATTTTGGCGCATGAGGGGCTCACGGGCATCCGGCGTAGTGTATGGATGTTTTCCAGTCTGGCTGAAAGGCAGAACTCAGACACATTTATCCAGCCCTTCAAATCCCATTTCCTGGTTGTGGTAACACCTACCTTTCCATGGGGGTTTGGTTCATCTCTTGTCTACACAGTTTCCTTTCACTTATGTGCTGACAAGAAAAGGAAACTCACCAGAGCCCAGTTTCACCAAGTGCGGTAAACTCAATTTGGGGTAAACTACCAAACTACCCCACTACTTAACTACAAAAACTACCCCAAAATTAAGTTTACCGCACTTGGTGAAACTGGGCTCAGTGGAGCTATTCAGCTTAATACACAGAGTATGTGTTGCATGGACTAAGCATGTGTTGACCCTTTTTTACTTTTAGGTTCCCGCTAAAAAAGAAGTACAGAGAAAAGTGGATGAGGGTGTGTGGCATGACCAATGAGCCAAGACCACATGACCACTTAAACTTAACAAGAAGTGCACACCATGATAAGCACAGTCAAAAACGTTTGCGTCTAAAGAACAGTGCTGTGCCGGATCAGAATGTAAGTTATTTTTTAAAAGTGATGAAAATGCCTGCAAAGTTATCAAAAGACTTTGAATATTGCTTTTGTAACACTTCACTCTAAAGTTATTCCTAGTACCAGACATTACAGCTTTAGTGCAGAGTCTTTATTTGTGATATTTTTAGCCAAAAATTATTACTAGTACCGAGCCCTTACAGCTTTACAGCCCTAGTACCTTGCCCTTATTTTTTATATTTTTTAGCCATTTCAACCTAACCGAATATCTGTATGTTTGTATGTTATTGTTTTGATCTGTATTTTATGCTACCTCCCTATAGGTAAGTTTTATTAAAACATGTGGTAACGGTGTGCTGATTTTTTTACAGATTCCGTATACGCCTTGGGTTGCTGTCGCTGCTCGGTCACCCACAGATGAAAGTGATCAAGAAATGGACATCACTCAGGTAAGATTCAAGCGTCCTTTATTTTACACATAATACACTAAGCAGTAGCACCCTAACCGCAACATATGGGAATGCATTGCCTGGTGGGTGCCTACTGCCTACCTGTATGCCAAGTTTCAGCTAAATCGCCCCAGTAATTACAGAGTTATTGAAATGGGAACAAATTCGGCACCTCTTCTTTTTGCATTTTGCACGTGCAGTGGGGGTCACTCACATAGATCAAGAGCATCCGACCTTTGGTTGAAGGGGTGCAGCTACCCTACAAAATTTACCGCAAGACCGCCCAAGCGGCTGCTGAGATGAGCCTCTCAAAATCACTTCTTTTGCAACTTTTGACAAATAACACCCTTGACTTTTCACGTGGCACGTGCCACGACGGTCCCTGTAATGTATCAAGAGTAGTCAATTACGGGGTAGAGGGAATAGGGCTAGCCAACAAAAAAAAAAGAAAGACCGCAGGCCAATCGGTCCAGCGGTTGCTGAGATATAAGCCTCTCAAAAGCGTTACAGGCCGGGCCGGGTCGGGCCGCTCATACTGAGCTTTTTCCGTGATATTGAAAAGACTTCGCTTCGCTCGCTCGCTCGTAATTAACAATTCATGGTTGACTATATGGATTAAGCTAAGTGATTGCGCTCTATTAGCACACTATCTAAGTAGCCCTTAATTGCTGCCGGTGCGTGGACTGTGAAAGTGAGCCGAGCTGTGACGCAAACCGTGCGCCTTTTTCAGGTGTGGGATCACTCGTGGAAGTTCACGGCGGATACGGAGCCGTGCATGCAGCTCTGGTTCGATCCTGCTCAGGGAAGCCCCAATGACGCCGTGGCGCGCATCTGGGCTGAGCGGGTGGTGGCGGCCGGTGCGCGGGCGCTGCCGCGTGGCTGGTGGCCGCGGCCCTGGCGGCAGCGGCCCGCTCCTGACCCGGTCGCCCTGTGCCGAGCACAGAGCGCCGACTGAGGTCAGTCTTGTGATCGAGCTTCCGCGCCGGAGGTGGAACAGGTGGAGCTGGCGGTCACCTGCGCGGGCTCGGCGGCCTGTAAGCCGTGCCGAGACGAACCGCGACACTCTTGCTAGATCTGCACCCCATTGTAATCTTCTGTAGTCGATATTCGGTAGGTACTCAATGCTCATTTTTCTGATATTAGACGAGTGGCGGGTTTTGATGTTACATTGGAGACTGCTGTCTCGGGTGGCCCGACAGTGTTCGATTGTGGTGTAATGTAGATACATAGACGGGATGCCGCGGCTCGGATTCGTAGCTGGACTACCATGTGCCTGTCGATTGAGATGCTTTGCCTGGCGATTGAGATGATTCGGGGCGCGGCCCCACACTGACGCCATGGTGCAATGAGTGACTGGCGACAACTAAGCAATTATGTACTTTTGTAGAACACATGTTTTCATGGATACGAGAGGCAGTCCTTTTTTCGCTAGCAGTCATTTGGTTCACGATACTTTCGATACCGACAAATATGTTCGGGCGGCCGGTCCGTCCACAGCTAATGCGTGCTTGCCCGCCGATGCCTAACGGAGCGCTGTGCTGTCTACGCTCACTGGTCGCTGGCCCGAGAGCCGTTCGGTTGCTGCTGTTAAAACAGTTCTCACAAAAACACGCTGGCTGGCTGCCAGTTCTTCACCAATGAGAGGCCCAGTAGCATCAGCAGGTAGCATTGTTAAATATTACTATTCCATTTTGTTTACCCATATGTCCGACCTAGAGCCGACTGGTAAAAAGCGGCAACCGAGCAGCCCTCCGCAGCGCTGCAGATCATGTACGCTCGATTATACACAATATATGCGTCTTTCTTGCACACAGAGACATGACGTTTTGTAGAGCTTTTATATCGCTTGTGGCTGAAAGGAATATTGTACATTTTAGAGCTTTCATATACGCGAGAAAATATGGTGCAAAAAAACATTTATGAAGCCTGTTGAATTTTAAAGGTTGTTGGGGCATTTCACAGACTGTGTCGGTGGGCAGGGCAGCCCGGCCCCGGCCGCCGCCGCCGCCGCCTCCTTCACTGGTATGTGGCAGGGACGGAAGCTTCGTATTGATATACCGGGGTGCAACTCAAGCAGCACATCACCTATCAAACAACCTTCGGTTATGAAGTGAATGAAAACTAAATATTATGTATAACTGTGATCTGCGCTGCGGTGTTTCCAAAGTGGAGGAAGTACGGGGAGCTGGACCCGGACTCGATGAGCCCTCTACTACGGATCTGGGTCTTCGCAGCTGATCGTCTGTGAATGAGAGATCATATGATACCAATGCATACCGAACGGATCAAAAACAGTGCCATTATATATTTGCAATTCTACAGCTTTACGTAAGCCCATCCTAGTGAATGCATTAATACGCGTTGATTTGACAACTGACATCCGGTTGAAGGCGTTTTTTTTCGGCCAACAGCCGGCCAGCAGTTGTTGCAGGCCGGCCTCGTTGGGAAGCAGGTTCATTTTCCGACAGCCACTGCGTGCGGAAGCACTCTCTGATGGCGCGGACGGCGCGCGCCGGCTCCTGTTTCTGTAACGTGTAGAGGCGGGTGTCGAGCAGCTGGGTGCGTAGCGGGCGGTCCTCGAGCACGCGGAACGCGGCCGGCTGGCGCGGGTACAGGCGCTCCCTAAACAGTTGGCCCGAGTGGTGGCAGAGTCGAGCGTCGCGGCGCGGCAGAGCGCGCGGCGCGGCCGCCGTCTGTTCCAGCTCGGCGTCGGCGCGCCCCTCGGCGAACAGCAGGTGCAGCTGACGGTCGGCCAGGCAGAAGCCGCTGATGCCAGGTGTGCTGACGTCGCCGGGCCGGCGCGGCGCGGCGCCCTCGGCCGCCGCCGGGCTGGGCGGCTCGTTGAGCTGCTGGATGAGCTGCAGCACGCCGCTGCGCTGCAGGCCGCGCTGCGAGACGACGGCCAGCAGGCGGCCGTAGGCGCAGCGCGCCGGCGCCGGCCGCGGCAGCAGGTCCAGCGGCACGGCCAGCGACACGGAGACGGACAGCTGCGCCGCCGACTGCAGCAGCTGCAGCGGCCCGAACGGCGGCGGACACGTGCCGCGCTCAATGTCGGCCGCCGGAGAGGCAGCCGGTCCGGCCGGCACCGCTGTCAGCGGCACCTCCACACTGAGCAGACGCACGCCGCGCGTCAGGGCAGAGACGTCCACCACCACCTGCCGCGCACACAGAGGGCCGACAGTGGTGACAGCGCGCGGCGGGTCAGACCTCACAGTGGGGATAGCGGCAGCGGGTCAGACACCCTTATAGAACAGCACGGGGCGGAGCCGACAAAAGAGGACGAGGAGACGGTCATACAGCCGACTGAGGTCCGGGCACCGACTGACTCAAAGTGCTGAACATGTCACACATTTCTAAATGGCTTCTGTAGGACGGAATAGTGTCTCTTCCTTCCAAGGCTTACTTGCAGAATAATATGGAAAGACACAATTTTACAAGTTGTGTTTTTATGACATAAGTTCTTTATAACATTTCAACACGCAAACATCATACCTCGACAATTGTTCACGATGAAGATCATGCAGGAACATTTCATATTTAGTCACCCTTGATTAATTTGTTGGTAGTGATGCGAAAGGCAAATTACCAAAGCATATATTTGCAATTATTTGAGTTAATAATTTCAACTTTTTTGTGTTGAAAAATTGACTTTTGAAACAATAAAGGCAAATGAATTATCAGTGTCTGGAAAGGTGCAATGCTGAAAGCTTCTTATTACATTCTAATTTATATCTAAAGCTTTGTGATATCCAAACTCTCAGAAATAACCAGGGACGTAACCAAGGAGGGGGGAGGGGCACGGGAGCCATGCCCTCGTGCCCCTTCCCCCCTCGGTGATGGCGATTTTTTTTTTAAATAAAAACAGCTGTGACACACCCCCAAAATAGTGGGCCTAATCAGAGAAATTTTCCTTTTTTGGAGGGGGTACAACACTAGGCCACAACCTGTGACCCCCCCCCCGAGCAAAATCCTGGCTACGTGCCTGGAAATAACAAAGCACATCCTATCCTTTGATGTTGGACGCAAGAGCCAAGTTGCTACGCGCCCTAACCCATAACAACAACAACATCCTATCCTTTGATGCCACTTACCAGCAGCTTTGCGCACTACCAAACAGCCACCTTTGGGCCTTTGTTGTTCTTGTTTTGGGCATTGTCAGTGGTAACTGGAAATAAACAGACATGATGGTCAGAGTAGGGAATGTGACTACAACAAAAATCATTTCATTCCTATAAAATAGACATGATTTAATAGAAGACCTTCTTCTTAAGAAAGTGTGTCATGGATACCAGCTAATCTGTATGGTATTTATCTCCAGTATTATCATATAGGTATAACAATTATCACCACCCGCCACCATTGAATGTAGGTTTTAGGTTGTAGGTTGTAGGTGGTAGGTTGGGTATCGGTAAAGCTGGTGTCACCGTCAGCGCTAACCGGTAAATGTGTAGATAAAAGGAATCTTAAAAACAATATAACCTAACCTAACCTTACCTACTGACCTGCAACCTACCTACCCACAACCTACCAAACTAATATACGCTGACAGTGATGCCAGCTTTACCAATGCCGTACGTTGTAGGTTGTAGGTAAGGCTAGGTCAGGTAAGATTATGTTTCATTATATATTTACTGAGAAGACGGCTGAATGCTCTTGAGACGTGGCTATACATTTACATTTTGTAAGTAATTTTCAGGTTTCAATGAATATTTCCTAGTGGAATGTTTTGAAAACCATTCTAAATGATGACCTTTAGCATTCCATAGTACTTTAAAGCTAATTAACCACATCGCCAATGCTAGGTCACATTGCGTGCCTACTTCCACCGGCAGCTCCATGGGATATATGATAGGCAGGGGTAAATGGAATATTTTTTATTAATATTCTTGAAGAAAATTATAGGCATGAAAAGAAGATGATCTGCCTTTGAGATTGATATGTGATGCCTACTTTGGAGGAACATAATCATAATAATTACACAATCATAAAAAATGCAATGTAACCAAACAGCCGCTTATGCCGCAAAATGAGAATCAAGCCAATCACTGAGGACAAACAATTTCAAACCACCAAAACTATATTCTTGCTATTCACCAATAATCCTAAAATAGCGTTCCATGGCCATTATATCCATCTTTCACCCTTACCTTCGACAGATAACTAGCGCCACGGGCAGACACACGGGGCGACAAGTTGTTTACAACCGCTACAGTCCGACGAGTCTATCCTCCTCAAGGCTGATTGGCTTGAGTGTGACGTCATTGCTATGACATCATACAGTAGCTGCGGTAGAGAGTATAAACATAGTACCAATATGTTAAATAGTTTGAAATACTTTTTAGCGAATTATGCACTTCTGGCACCGGTTTTGAAAAGAAAATGGAAAATAATAATGTCAAAATAAAAACCAACGATATCTTCATATTTCAAGAAGGTGGCACTTTTCCTTTCAACATAACAAAATTTTATTGCCTTCTTCAATCTCTATTAGACAAAGTTTTGGCACTAAGAAAGCTTTTAATTTCTAGAAAACATCAGCAATATACCAATCTGTATTTTATATCCAGAAAACCCCACTTGTGGAACCAAAAAAAGGGAGCACAAGCAGATTCCTGCGTGTTCTTGAAAGTGGCTATCAAGGATTCTTTAAAAAGTCGAGTATTTCACAAATAAGAGGGGTGGGCGTTTTACCCGCCCTGAGCGCTTTGCCCCACTCTACCCTACACAATGACACATGTATCTGTACATTATCTCACTTGCATCGATATTACTTTTTGTGGTGGGTGCGTCTCAACTCTTAAGATTACTTTACTTATAGGTGCGTCTGTCTGTGGTCGAGGTCCCGACTTGGTGGTGCTTTGCGTGGACTACAGGCCAGACCGTTGCACCTAGCCCGGTGAAATTTGCACAACTTATAGATCAAGGATGCGCGACGTGCCTTTGAGGGGTCTGGGCTCGCTCGGATTGATAGGGAGCGCGTGGCGTGTGCTCAAAAAGTGAAAATTCGCGTCATAGACTTTACATGTATAAATCGGCGTGCGAAATCGGGCGAAAACGGCTATTTTTGGCCGACACGGGTCCGGTCCCATATCTCGGTAACCGGGCGCCAGAACGGCACGGGGACAGCAGCATCGTGTAGATAATTGAGCGGGCTGTCGAATAGTGTACGATGCAGAGGATGGCACGTGCCACGTGCACCCGTGAGGATACTTTTATTGGAAACATTGTGGTTTGTGACGGATTTTGGAATTTATTTTATTTTTAGGTGACCGTTAAACGGAGCGAGTTGGAACAACGCCTGTTGGCAAGAGAAATGTACCGCCTCTCATGGGAAAATTGTGAAT